TTTGTGAACTAAACTGGCCCTCTTTTGGGATCTCCTGGCCTCTATAAGGCACTTTTAATCTTTCAGTCTCTCAGCACATCCAGACAGTCATCTTTGGAAATCTGGGACACCCTGACCAGGTCCCTTACAGTCAGCTTGAATTGATCTCATCCACGACCCTCTGAATGGCTCAAGGTTTGCTGTTCCGGACACCGTTCCTGGATGACCGGCCAATCTCACATGGTCGCATTGGCAGTTCCAACTGATAAGAAGTGGTGGTGACCCTTGACCATCACCCTCAGAACCCCCTCATTCTGCCCACCACCCGGTACACAGATAAATTCATTATGCAGTAGTTAAAATGTTGGTCAGAATGTGTTGGTAAATCTTAAGCTAAAGCATGGAAATGTTGTAAGGTTATGATATTTCTTTTTTTTTTTGCGGAACCAGGGATTGAAGTCAGGCCCTTGTGCTTGTCAGGGAAGCGCTTATTCCACTGAGCCATCTCCCTGGCCTATGATATTTCTTTAATGATACATCTTATGACTATTTTGTACTTGCATATGTTGCATTTGAACTAGATGTTAAATGTACTGGTATTCCTTGCTTGACTTAAGACAATAAATAGGGTCCCCCTGGACCCTATCTTTATCATTTTTATGGGAAGTCATTACTGTCTTCTTGGTAAAAAACATTTTTTACTATATTCATAATTATCCTGTTGATCTTATTATTTGGCATATGCATATTTAATAGTTTCTTTGGCTTTGTTGCCTCCAGATTCAAAGCTATACGTCCACCCAAGATAAAAATGCCTGGTGTCTATTGAGGGCCTTTAGATTAAACCTCTGGAGAGTATCTGTGACTGCCAGTGAACAATTACGACCCCTTTCAGCCTGAAAAAGCTAGAGCTGTCATCATCCATGGTTCCCTCATGGCAGTTTGGGTTTTACTCCTTCAGAGAGAAATGTTGCAGGCAGCCAAGTAAGATAAAAATATTATAGGCAGAGAGGACTAGGCCCTCAAGGAGACAGAATTAAAGAGAAGGTGACTACAGCTTGAGAGAGACAGATGCTCCCCTCTGTGGGCCAGACCTCAAGACAAAAGAAAAAACTACCTGGCTGATGTTACAGCTCAAGAAGTGGTACAAAAACCAGTAGGGACATGGGAGATACTGCCTATTCTAGCTCTAGAAAAACCCACCTACTCAGACTTTGTTAACTGTTTCTTGCTGTCTGACTAGATTAACAGTGGTGACCCCATGTTAAAATAATTTGATATAACATCACCACAAAGGGTCATGAGTGCGTAAGACTTGTGAGATTTAAACATACGCTATAATATTCAATGTTGTTAAAAACCTCTTCTTTGGCAAAATAGCTTTGCACTTTTTTTTCTTTGGCGGAACCAGGGATTGAACTCAGGCCCTTGCACTTGCCAGGGAAGCACTTATTCCACTGAGCCATGTCCCCGGCAAAATAGCAGAAGGACATGAACAACTGCCATTAGATGAATATGACCCCCAAGGAGCCAAGGATTTGACTCAGTTACTAAAACCAGTGGGGAATGTTAAAACTGGCTTAACCAATTCCATTTTGTAACAAGTTCTATAACCTTCATTTTGTGAAGCCCTAATCTCCCTGAGAACTCCCACCCATGCCAGACCATAAAATTAGGAAGTGTTTCTCAGCAGGTAACAGGATTAAACTGTTCCCAAATGTCCTGCCCAGGTCAGGGAACAAAGGCCAATGAGTAAACCTTGCAAGAATCCCCCTCCTCCCCCAACCCTGCGGTTTTTCACCTTAAAGGTTGTGCTTTGTTTCAACTCAGCATTCTCCTCAGTTTCTCTAAGGGAGTGTTGCCGCTGAGCTCAGCTAATAAAATGCTCCAAATTTTATTAATTTGGTACATTAATTTGATATAGAAAAAGATGAGGGCCGGCCAAGTAGCTCAGCAGATTAAGCACCCGCTTAGGCAGATGCAGGGGTCACAGTGGTTGAAAGTCCGGAGGTTCGATCCCCGGCCTGCTGTGCTGGCCCCCCATGGTGCACCGAGATGGTGACTGAGACTGAGTGTGGTGGCTTGTGCCTGTAATCCCAGCGCTTGGAAGCTGAAAACAGGAGACTCACTACAAGTCCAATCTGTGTAGTGAGACCGTGTAGGCCCTGTAGACCCTGCACTAAATACAAAAAAAAAAAAAAAAAAAAAGGATAGAAAGATACGAAAAAGGCTATCTAATTGACCCTCCAGGGACATTTTTCTTTGAAGAGGAGTTTAGGGATCCAGGACTGGGTTTCCTCTACAGGTCCAGTTACAGCTTGGGGCTACAGTGAGTTCTACACACGTAATAATAATGTGTTACCCTATAAGCAAATCACAGCAAACTTAAGGCACAGAATGACTCATCGTAATGCAAAAGGAATGATACAACGTGACAGAGGTCAATTTAAGAAGAAAGGGAGGGTCATTTAAGGCAGCAGCTTCCTAATCTTACAGAAAAGTTCTAAGAGGGGGCTGGTGAGATGGCTCAGTGGTCTAAAGCACCTACTTAGAACAAGCTTAGCAAAGCACAGGGACCGCAGTTCAATCCCCCAGCACCACATGCCAGCCAGCCCTGCCCCCTGGTGGGCTGAGCTGGCGAGCCACATACACATACACACACACACACACACACACAAATAAATAAATAAATAAATAAAATTAAAAAGAAAAAGAAAAAAAAAGAAAAGTTCTAAGATACTAAGACTGGTATGACAAAAATTAGGTGAGCAAGAGGGTTTTAAAATAAAAATAAGAGAGCCAGGAAGGGTGGGCAGCTACAAACGTGGTGGAGGCAGGGAGAGCACACGCTTGAAAGGAGCCTGGGCAATTTAGTAAGTCCAGCTTCAAAATTTCTGGCACCACAATATACAGGTAAGAGCTGGCCAGCTAGCTCAGAGGCCTAAAAAACCTGCTTAGAGCAAGCCCCCAGGGCACATTGAGACAGCAATTGAGGCTGGGCATGGTGGCACACACCTGTAATCCTAGCACTTGGAAGGCTGAAAACAGGAGAATTTCTACAAGTCCAATCTACATAGTGAGACGCTGTAGACCCTGTCCTAAAATACATTTTAAAAAATAGGTACATAAATAAATATTAGCCAGGCGTGGTGGCACAACCTGTAATCCCAGTACTCAGGAGGCTGAGGCAGGAGGATCTTTGGGAGTTCAAGACCAGCCTGGGCTACAATGTAAGCTCAAGGCCAGCCTGAGTTGCAGAGGAAGACCCTATCAGAAAAAGACAATACACAAATAAATAATAAAAGGTCAAGAGGTATTGCTCAGTCAGATAACTCTCCTAGGTCCAATTCCCAGTTACACGCACGCGCACACACACACACACACACACACACACACACAGGAAAGGAGGAAAAAAGTATGCAAATTAAATTCCCCATCTTTTATTGGATAATCACTAGACAAAAATAACAATAGTTAACATTTGCTGAGTGCTAATAAATCAGCAGGCACTGTCCTAAGCACTTTCAAATTTCATCTCACTACCCCCACCCTATCGACACTAGCACTCTGGTGTTGCTCCTACTACCCTGCTCGTTTCACTGACCAGGACACAAGGCATGTTTAGTAACTTTCCCACAGCTACACAGAAAAATACAGAAGCCGCACTTCAGACGCAAGCAGCCAGTCCGCTATCTCAGGCTCTGGAGGCTAGGGCACCTCACCATTTCCAGCTAAAGTGGATCAAATTTACAGCAGGTTCCAAAGCCGCAGCAGCTACCTTCCTGGTGCTGGTAGCGGGTCACAGCCTGGAGCTACAAGCTGGACCGGCACACACTGAACCTCCCCATAGGAAAGGGTCGGGATGCACTCCAGCTGAACTTGGTGAAGAAAGAAGGTGTCAGCGTACACTACAGTGACAGAGAACTAAACCTAAGAGCTGTAAAGCCGGGAGTGGTGAATTCCACTGTATTCCCAGCACAGAGGCAGGCTGAAGCAGGATCACAAGTTAGAGTACTGTTTGGGCAACGTAGGGAATCCCTGCCTGAAAATCCCCACAGGACAGGAGAGGGGGTGCTGGTGACGTAGCTCAGCTCAGCTTAGGGGTAGAGAGCCGCTGGGTTCAATCTCTAGTACCACAAAAACTAAAACGAGAGTAGTCAAGACTCGTTCACCTTATGCAGTGGGAAAGGAGCCTTTCAAACGCTGTACTATTCAATAGTTTGGACCTTGAGCGTCTGAAATGCAGATGCCCCGTGCTTTCCCCGAAGGAATGCTCAGCCCTGCCTCAGTTTCCCTTCCTACCTCTTTATAGGCACACAAGTTAAGTGGGGCCGGGAGCTGGAGCTCAGTGGAGACCCCACTGTACTCTGGACTTGCACCCGGTTCCCCCCACACACACACAACCCAGGGACGCCCCCCCAGCCTATCCCTGGACCCCAGCCCTCCTATGTCCCCAGACTCGGTGGCTTATAAACCCCTTTGGGCAAGGCCCTCTGATCATTGTTCTCGCCCCTCAAAAACGCTCCTAGAGCACACGCTTCACACCACCAGGGACGCGCACCAACCCCTGCCCCTCGCCACAGCCCCCCATCGTCCCCTGGGCCCCGCCCCAGACACACCCCTAGACTCTGCCCCTCACCCTTGCCCTAGACTCCAGCCCTCACTCGCTGCGTACTCGGCCTCTCACTCTTGCCCTAGACACGCCTCTGCGTGCCGCCACCCAGACGCGCCCACCCCAAGGCGCCCCACGTGCGCCCACCCACCGCTCACCCGCGCCTCCCGCGGCCCGCCCTTGGATTGGACGCACCCCACTCCCAGTCAGCCCCAGGCAAGGGGAGAGCCCCGCGCCCGTAAGGGGCTGGGGCTGCGCCTCGCGCCCACAAGCACCCGCCCGCGGCCCAGGCCGGCTTCCCGCGAATCCCGCGCAGGAGTCTGAGCAGCTCAGCCGTCCCGGGCCCGGGCGGACGGCATCACGTGGCGGAGGACCGCCCGAGCCTTCCCCAGACTCCGCGCGCACCGACCTTCCCAGGCTCCATCGCCGCTCCCGGGTCTGGGTGGCCCGGTGCCCTCGGCTCGGGGTAGGGGCGGACCTCCGGGGAGGAGACTAGCCTGTGGGCACCCACTCCCCCCAGCCCCCGGCGCCGGGCTGCTGCGGGCTGTCGTCGGCCCCTTGGCGTCCACAACTCCTAGCAACCGGTAGGCAAGCGCAGCAGAGTACCGAACGAACTTCCCCGCCTGCTCCGGGCCGCCCTCAGTGCGTCTGCGCAGGACCCGGATGCCGGGCCTCGGGCAGGCAGGAGCAGCGGAGGGCCGAGCGGCCACAGTCCGGCCGGCGCCGCCTCCCGCCGCCCCTCCTAGCGCGCCTGCGTTCCCCCTCCTTCCGGGCGACGCCCTGCGGGGGCCGGCGAGCTCCGCCGGTCGCTTTCGGTGTCTGGGGCCTTCTGGTTCGCCGTCCGGGTGGGGCCGGGGCGCGGAGGGGCTTCTGGTCTCTTCAGGGGCGGCCCCAGTCCGCCTGCAGAACCCCGACTGGAGGCCGGAGCAGCAGAGGGCAGGCGGTCGCGGGCCCGTCGGCCGGCGTTCTGGGGACTGTATGGCTGGGTGCCCGGAGAGAGCGGGAGAGAGGGCCAGGGGCGCCTTACGGTTGAACAAGGCGCTGTCTCAGGCGTTGCGTCCTCGCGTGCTGTGGTGCTGAACACCACCACGTGAGGTAGACGGCATCAGAGTGTTTGCAGTTGTTGAAAGAGACCATTCGAGGCGTGGGAAAGGAAGCAGGCAAATACCTGGGACTCGGCGTTATTCTGTTTACAGCTTAAAATCAGAAAGCCACTCTTCGGCCAGGCAGGGCAGGGCTGCACTGGTCCCCAGTGCCCTGCCGCGTGCTCACATGGGGCGTCGCGCCTGGGCCTGGGGTGTCCCAGCTTCTGGCCCACATCTTCCTGCAGGCCGCAAACTGACTTTGTTCTCGCGGTTTCCAGGCACGTGCAGTTCTGAGCCGGTTTACAAGGCCACAAACCCCACAGCTTGTCTTAAGTGTTAAGAGCCAATAATAAGCCTTTTCTATTTGCTTGTGCTATTCCTGTCTTTACTGATCACTGGAAGTGGGTAACTTTTTGAATGTATTTGGTACAGGGTCTCACTACACAGCTTGGACTCCTAGTGATCCTCCTGTCTCAGCCTCCCCAGCGCTGGGATTACAGGTGTGCACCACCACACCCAGTCTGGGAAAGGTAATTTCTGTGACAGCTGTAATTTAGTGACTGCCCCAAGCAAGGCACCAAACTAAGTGGTAGCGGTTTAGTAAGACACTTCATTCCCATAGCATCTTGCAACCTCTGCGCGAAAGGATGATTCTCTTGTATGAGTTGCTCTGTGAGGCTCAGTCTGATGGCAAAGTGCATCCCTTAACTCCACACCGCCACCACCACCAGTGTACTTGTTAGTGACCCTGGTCATAGTTCTGGTTATAGTTCCTGTTACTATTGTTTCTTAGAAACAGCTGGTCACTGTGATGCACAATGTGAGAACCACTCCCCAAGTGACAGGCCATTCTGCCTGTGTCTTTTCTGCTTGCTTGTCCCCTATAAGCCCTAGATCACGAGAGATCAGGGCCTGATATTTTGGAAATGATCCCAATCAGTGCTTGTTGATATAAATCTGCCTTCAAATCCTGGTTGTCATTTTGGTGTTTTTATTTGGTGCAGCATAACTACTGAGTCCCAAACAGCTGATACGAGAAGACTGCATGCTCTTCACCGTGATAATGGGTGAGAAATAAAACCACCCGCTACAGCACTAGAAAAGCTCACACACACGATGGAGCTGATGACCTCTTTCCCTCACCTGCAGTCACAAACCCCTGCCAGACTACCACCTGTCTCTTGGGTATTTGCTCCACTTAAGTCTTGACTAGCCCATCCTCCATGGCACACAAAGCTAAAACATAAATTGCCCATCATCCCTACCTCCTTGGCACTCAATTTCATCATCAAACGAATAGCTCAGAGCTCATCAAATACAGTACATCTACAGAGCTCTGCAGAAGCTGTTTCTGTTTTCTCACCATGCCCCATTACATTTGCAGAACAAGTGCAGTTTGGGCTATAGTAGAACCTAAAACATTCTCTGACTAGCTCCTTTGCTGGGGACTGATCTGCTTACTGATCACCACCAAGGCCCAGTAGACAGATACTAGCAAGAGGAAAGGTGGCATACTCATTTGAGCAAAGCTTCACGAGACTGCATAGAAGGGGTATCCTCGTGGGTACAGCCCCAGGGGAGAAACTAGCAAGTCTGTGTTGTCCAGCTTCTTAGCCTTTCTGTGCAGCATCTCCTTCCCTCACATAAGGGGCAGGACCCCCTCTGGAATTAGGGGGTCTTGTGATCTTTATCAGACAAAGTAGGGCAGAGAATTGTTTTAAAAGGTAGCTGAAAAAAAGACGGAAAGATGAATGTTTCTAGGTTTTATGTCTTACTTTGTGGGAAAGATGTTCCAGTTCTTATTGCCTACTTTGGGGAAGAGAAATTCTAGTTTCTATAGCCTGGGAGAGAAAGTGGCAGGAGACAGGACAGAGATCTGGGAAAACTTCGAGGCTTTAGGTGTCCTCCAAGACTTGCAGTGTGAAAAATTTTGAGTTCCTGTTGGGGAAGTAAAACGAGATTGTTCTCATGAAAGCAAAGGATGCAGATTGTGCTCCCAGCTTCTACAGCACATTCAGAGGTTTGGGGAAAAGGGACCTCAAAGCAGAAAGGATTGACCTCCAGCAGAAAGTAGCCCTTCTGTCAGAAAGGCAACAGGCAGAACCTCACAGCGGAGTGCAGGAATGCTCACGGTGACACCCTCCTCCATGAACGCTGGGCCTTTTCCCTCAAGGACCTGCGGACACGCGTGAGGACAGTGGGAACGTAAACCGCCTACAGAAGAATGGGAGTTATGCAATCTAGTAACTGGACAAGGGACAGAGAAGCTCAGTGGAGTTACAAAGGCGATCGACTGGTGTTTTACAGGAGAACATTTTGCTTTTCTGCCATCTATTTCATATCTCTAGGTCAAATGCTTGCGAGCAAACAGCATGGGGTTTTTGGTCACGCATGCTCCTACAAGTCTTCACAAGATCCCAAAAAAAGCAACTATGAAGCAAAGAAATAGAAACTCCTTTTTGTGTTAACAAGGGAGTATCTCATTTTGATAGTTTTTATTAACGCTGTCTTGAAAAGCGGCATTAAAAGCACTAAGCGGCACACCAGGAACCGGGTGGGGACACCGCTCGGCTTATTTGTCATTTCCACTTTATGATTTGGGGCTAAGGCTCGCTCATCGCGCCGCGACCACGTTCTTCACGTGCGAGCCTGCGCACCGCAGACGAGGAGCCCGGGGGTGGGCGGCACGGGCAACTCGGGACGGGGCGCGCGGAGGCCGGCGCCGGCTCACCCCTGCTGCCGAGCCCCGCAAGCCGAGGGAAACGCCGCGGGGAGGCACTCCCGGCTGCGCTGCTTTAAGGAAACGCAGCCCAACAGACGGGGCCACAGCCCCGAGCGAGCAGACCCGCGGGTCCCGCAGCACGCACAAGCGGGCTGCCGTCACGCGAGAACAAGCCAGTCTGCCCCGGCGGCCGGTCACCCCTAAAAGCCTCCTCGCCGAGCTCTGCCCCCGGCGCGGCCCCCGCCCTCGGGCGCCCGGCCCCTCGGAGCGCCAGGGCGCGGCGGGCGGGGATTGATGACGTCGCGAGGTCCCCGGCGGGCGGACGGGCCAGGCGTGATGACGCACGCGCACGCGCCCCCGGCGCTTCCGCAGAGCTTTGCGCCCTCCCCGCCTCCAAGCAGAGCTGGGACTGGGCGGGGCGGTCGCGTCAGACAGCCCGCACCACCCATCTTCGGGCGGGGCTGGCGGCTGTCTCGCAGCGGCCTCGGGACCGGGCGGGCCGACGCCGCGCACCGCCCACCCCAGGCC